TCCACTCTTCATTCAGATAACTATCTCCGTCCGAATTTTTTTTTTTTTTTTTTTGAGGGTGGGCATAGGTGTTAATATTTCCTGACGCTTTTAATAATGTATCAAATGAAAATGAAGAATAGTCGTTGAAATGACAAAAAAAAATATTTAACAAAAAATTGTTACATTATTTACATTATTCGGACTAATGTCCTCATCTTTGTCGCCATATTTATCACTTTTATATTGTTAATCGTTATATTTATGACATAGTCGCTAAGGAAATAATGGTTATTGGTACAAAGGTTTCCGACATCCCGATTACTTTATTTTTCCTTTCGTCATCTTCAAGTTCTCGTTGTCGGCTGCTTTATCCATTTTTCGTGTCGTCTCTCTTTCGTCAGTTGAGTGGTCATTTCGTTTTTTGTAATAGTAGTAGTAGTAGTAACAGTAGTAGTAGTAATAGTAGTAGTAGTAGTAATAGTAGTAGTAATACTACTGATAATCCAATTAAGCAATTATCTAATTTTCGTCAAGTCCTATAAATGCTACTTTATTTTTGGAAGATTTTTAATTACAGAGTTTAAATTTTTGTGTCAGCAGACATCAGTCAACATAATCGAAGTTAATTTTGGATGACAAAATTGACATTAAAAGTGGTTTTAAGCAAGTAAAATAAAGTTCTCTTTTTCAGTTTTTAAAAATAAGTTTAAACAATTTTCTTACAATTAAAATTAAACTAAAATATTTCACACATATTTAAATTATTCAAATATGTGTGAAATGTTCATTTAAAAAAAAAACAAATGCTTGTTTTTTAATCGTGGCACGACATTTCATCGAAACGAATTTTTATAAAATTTTTATTTTTAATTTTAACTATTTTATTTCTCACGAAATGTTTTTGTTTATATAATTTTATATATTTTTTTTTATACTTTATTTTAAAAAAATTTAAGAAACTTTTATTTTTAAATTTTTTTATTTTTGTGGGGTGTTTTTTGCGCACCTCTGTTTTTTTTCTGCAAATAAATACTCGAATATTTCTTATTATTTTTCTCAATAGTTAAATTTTTTCTAAGATAAGTAAATATTTCTTTGATATCAACTTGTGTAGGTGGCATAATGGATAGTGGCCCAGAATATAAAAATCAGAGAACCGGGTTCGATTTCCAGTAGGGGTCGTTATATTCGCTTGAACAAGTCCCACTCTGTTACATTCGCTTGAACATAATCTCCCGCTGTAATAAAAATTGCAACACGCCAAAAACGTAACGTAATAGATATATAGGAAGTTCACTATATCTAACATGACAGTCGCTTAGGCGATCATGTATCTTTCGATATATGACTGACGAGGCAGATTTTTTTCTAGCAATAGGTTGTCATTTCTTTCTGCGGTAGACCAGTTGCTATACAAGTCTGTTCTGCTATTTATCCATGGCTATAGGAATAAGAGGGGGATTCATACCTTTTCCAAGGCTATCAGTACGTAAGTGAATGTAATGGATTCGACTGGAATTTGAACTCGGCTCTCCGATTCCTCAGTCCAAGCTGCTGTCCATTACTCCACTGGCATCATGACACCCAGTCTAATAAATGTATATCAGGTACATGCATCACAACCAAATGTACGCGATGTGGTCACAGATTTTTAAAATAAAATAAAAAAAATAGTTCTTAACATTGCAGGCGGAAAAAAACCTTCATGTCGGGTAACCCATTCGGCTCAGACGGTGTTTCCAAGTCCCCTTCTTCAGGTTTTAAAAAGTAACCCTTTCGAAAACCCAGCCATAATACTCCCCACCACTACTCCTGCTCTTGAACAGATATGTACAGTGTGGTCGTCCCAAAAGCACATGTCCAAATCGTTATGGTCAGGTAAATAACACATATATTTGTGTTACCGAACAGGATATTTACTGAAGCCCATCTTAACTCACTAACAGAAAATCTATACAAATCAATTCAGATCAGAAGCCACAAGAGCCTGATATGGTTTCAGGACGTCTTGTCATTTTTATGTTCTGTCACGCAGTGTAAGTTTTTAAATAAGTTATCTCTCAAGTTACAACAAGTAATTCAAACAGACGACACTTTCCTGAAAATATGCGCAAATGGCCAAAAGAGCCGATTTGGGGATATCTCCAAGTTGGTATGTGATCCCCAGCTAGTCAAGGAAGTTACACAGTTTTAATGGGATTGATCCGAATGCGCCAGTCACTACTGGAATCACCTTGACATTCTCCTTCTTGACATTCCAAACAATCTTACCATCTCAACATTCAAATCAAAGTAGTTTGTAATTTTCTCAATCACCTTATTTTCTATATTTGTGCCACTTGGTATGCCAAAGTCAATAATATGACAGCGCTTTGCTTCCTTTATCTAGCATAATACTATCCGGACATTTATGGTGTCTCCCTCTGTCTGTCTAAAAAGTTCCAGAATATTGTGAACTTCCCAAAGACCTCGAATTTCCTCCAAGGCACATTGGTCATACCAATTTTCTACAACTTAGTCTTCATACGTTCGGCATAATAACCTATGTATATTAAAGCATACCTTATTATGGTGCCACTTATATTCTTTTGGGGCTACCATTTTGCATCCACTGATCATTTTTAGTCATATGCTGAGTTTGTTCACCATTTAGCTTACATTTTGTTGATGCTTTGTGTATGTGGCATTTTATGGCATTGGTAGCAAGGCCATGTTCTTGTGCTGCAATTACCAAGTTCGTATTTGACTGGAAAGCAAAAAATCATAAAAGAGTTCCACAGGCAAGAAGTGCAAGAGGGGGGACTATTAGAATAGAAGTTACGGTTCTATCTAGCACTTTCAGTTATAAAAGGATGAGATTTAATAATGTGTATCATTTTTTCAAGACTTTTCTCCAATCAATTCTTTATGATATCAAATAAACATCCATCATTGTAACTTTGAATTTCTGGAAATTTATTTTTAAATTTATTCTTTCGCCATTGTGGCATCATTTTTTGTGGAATTTTATATGAAGATTTTCATTAAATATACGTTTAGCTAGTAATTTATATCATAATGAAGAAACTAGTTTTTAATATAGTTTTTATTTTAATTTTGTTTATTGCGCTTTTTAAATATTTTCCTAAAATATCAAATTTCATATCCGAACGGTGATGTGTATCAAGCTATCTGTGGGAAAATTATTATTTATTTATAACATCAGCATTTTATATTAACATTAGTATTCTATTAGAAGTGACCAACAACAAGCCTACAGCAACCGTAATAATTTGAAACGTTAAACTATCAATTGCAAGAAGACAGAATGACAATAGAAAAAAAGTCTAAGATGCGAAATACAAATTGAAGATGTCAGAATCAAGTGCACGAGATTAAATATCTTGGATGTGTTTTAACAAATGGCTGAAATTGTGACACCGAAATCCGAAGTAGCATCGGAATAGAAAACAAAGCCTTCCAAAACCTAAAAGAGTGCTGGACTCCTTTCTAATATCAATCCTCCTATATGCCAGTAAATGCTGTACAATTTCCTCAAAGATATAGAGATGACGATGCAAGAAAGGTGGGGTTCACCAGGACGATGTTAAAAATACCATGGTCGAAGCATGTAAGCAAAAAGGAGTTCTTTTTTTAGGAAAAGGAGAAGGAAAAGGACACTTATAGTGAGAATCGGAAAACGTGTAAAAAACTTTGGAACATATAATGAGAAAAGAAGGCTTGGAAAACTTGACACCCACAGGACAAATTGAAAGCAAAAGAGACAGAGAAAAGTATCGAATAATCTGCCTAATTACCGTATGTAGATAGGACAGAAATAAGGGGACAAATATTGCAGATGTACATCCATTTTTTTTGTATCCCTTAAAGCATCAGACTTTTACTCCATTTATTTTTTGTTGTGCAACTTATATGTTTTAGCCTTAGCAAAAATAATAAGATGGAATAAAACTACATATGTATATGTGGAATGCGTCGTTCTAGATAAACCTTGGATCTCTGCCCAAGGAGTTATGCCTCAGCCGCTAATGGCTGTACTGCATCTATTACTGCTGTAAAGGTCTACACGTGAGTGACAGTCTGGATTGCAACGAATGCATGTGAAGACGCTCTTCCCCGATGTCACCGTGTTATATTCTTTACTCTCCGGCGGCAAACCTCCGTTTCTTCTCTTCTCACTCCGATCCTCGATGTACATCGCGTCTCTAGCGTGAACGATCATTGACGACGTCTTCCCGTCTCTCGAAGTTCGTCGTCTTCATGTCACTTTTGCAGACGTCCTTGAAGCGAAGATGAGATCGCCATTGTGCATTCTTGCCGGTGGCCAGTTCCTTGTACAGGAGGACCTTCGGAATCCTCCCATCTGTAGACTATTACTTCCCGTGTTTTGTCGTCGCGATGAGGCGACACTTGAATGTCCTCTCCAGGGTGCAGGCATGGGCAGGTTTTTATGGGAGATCGGCAGTTGCCTATGCAGCACGTTTCGATGTTGTCCAAGGCAAATGTAGAGTCCAATACACCTTAGCACAGGTGTCGTCGCAGGAGTTACAAAAACGATGCTGAACATAACATCGGACTGTCTTAGGGACTTCGGCTTCAGATTTGTCCTCGGGGTTTACTCCCGAAGCATTTCCCATGATTAGATATGGCCGCAAGGAAGTATAGGTTTAAATTTAAAGTTACCCTCCTCTTAAATAAAACTAATAATAAAATGATGAAGAATGTAACGACCCCGTTAGTTGGTTGGATTTGTTTAGCGACATATCACCCCCTATAGGTTATTTAATATCGAAATCTAAATATTTTGTACGCAAATCTATTTTTGGAGATAATAATGGTTTAGTGATACAAGTCTTACTAATTAACCCATAGCTGGTGGGGATGAAGTGTTGAAATCATACCTTTCCCAAGAGCTATTTACGAGTAAGTGAATATAACGACCCTAACTGGAATTGGAACTTGGCTGTCCGTTTAAAAATACTGAACCATTATTGATTACACCACTCTCACATCCAAGCTTACAGAGCCTGATATTCCCAAGCGGTCACCCATCTAGGTACTGACCAGGTTCGACGTTGCTTAACTGCGGTGATCGTACGGGAATTTGGCTCGCCGATTAATAATTCCGAGCCATTATCCATTAAACCACCCGTACATCCAAGCTTACAGAACCTGGTATTCCCAAGCGGTCACCCATCTGGGTACTGACCAAGATCGACGTTGCTTAACTTCATTGACCATGCGGGAACCGGTGCTTCGAAGTGACGAGGCTATAATCGGAAAAGTGTTAAGATAAAAAGCAACAATAATAAGATGGAATCAAACTAGTCATCAAATAATTCCAAAGGTATTTTTAAAAAGCCGGGCAACGTCAAGTAATTGCAATTTGGTTGTAAAGTTTTGACACTAGTCAGTGCCATTTGTTTGCAGTGAAACAAAAGCAGCGTTCTTGCCAAACGACACTCAGCGACGGCGACGTGTGTAAAATGCCCAGCTGTGTTCAGGAAAGTTAATTAATTAAAAAGAAAAACGGTGTCAGGATTTTATTTTGAATAATTCTCATTTGACAAATAGTGCAACGTTTGACAAATGACAGGCAAAAGTGTGAGTAGATGAAGTGAAAATGAGAATGAAGGAGGGTGGAAAGAGGAGAAGGAGGAGGAGGCAAGGAGGAGAGAGAGAGAGAATGAAGGAGAGGATAGCGAAAAAAGATAAAAGGGGGGAAGCTACTTGAATAAAAGAAAGAAAATGAAAGAGAGGATGGTGAAGAAAAGATGGTTACAGAAAGAACCTACTACAAAGAAAGAAAGAAAGAAAGAAAGAAAGAAGAAAGAAAGAAAATGAAAGAGAGGATGGTGAAGAAAAAATGGTTACAGAAAGAACCTACTACAAAGAAAGAAAGAAAGAAAGAAAGAAAGAAAGAAAATGAAAGAAAGGATGGTGAAGAAAACTAAAATAATAGAGAAGGAAACTACTGGGAAGAAAGAAAGAAAATGAAAGAGGATGGCGATAAGAAAATAAAGAAGGAAGCTACAAGAAAGGAAGAAAGAAAGAAAAAAAGAAAGAAAGAAAGAAAGAAAGAAGTGAGTGAGTTGTAAACAGTGAAGAAGCTTGAGTATTCAAAGACAGGTGGAATTAGAAAAAATGATAATTCAAAAAAAGGAAAGAAAGGAAAAATATAGAAAAAAGACAGGGTGCGATGGATAAATTGTCTAAATGAGGCAAGAATTAAAATCACACTGACATCTCATTTTAACAGATATATTTACCAAAATTACACAAAAATATCTTGAAATACTAAAGAGTAAGTTTATTCAATAAAATCACCATTGGCTTCAACCACGGCTTCCTGACAACTTTGGAATCTCCTGCAACTCTTTTGGACAGTTTCCTTATTTAAGTTGGTGAATGCTGCCATAATCCTTGCCTTCAGTTCATCTTTGGTATTACAAGGAGTTTTGTTGCTCTCTCGCTCAACTGCACCCTGGACATAATAATCAATTCGGGAGTTCTTTTCTTATCAGAACAATCAGAGTGCATTTTCCGAGCTGCTGTACCTTCGTAATCACCATTAGACTCATCCAACTCTTTCCAAATCCTCTGCACTGTCCTCAGATTGACACCCAAACACTCTGAAATGTTCGTTTTGCAGGTTATTTAAAACCAGAAAATATTTTTAGATTATAACGAATTTTTTCTTTTTTTTTTAAGATAATAATGATTTGTCCTACTAATTAACCCATAGATCAGGGACAAGAGGTACGGAACCCGGTATTTCAACATGACATAACCGTAAGCAATGAACATAGATGCACAGCCCGTTAAACCCCAGGGGTCATGCAGAAATGGTTAAAATCAGGAAAGTCACAGACAAATCTGTGGCACTAAACGGGATATTTACAGTCTCTCACATTTATTCACCAAGACAAAACATTAAATACTTGTTAACATCTCAAATCAACTAAAAACAGAGCCATTAGAATCATGTATTGTATAGCATCATTTTTTTTTTCTTTTCTGTTGTATACACGTTTCCTTCTGGGTCCCAACCAGAGACCTAAGGTCAGAAATGGCTTCATGTTATTTTCCACTTTTAACATTAAAAAAGAACTAAGATCACACATATTTTACATAGATGAAGCTGTTCGTAATGTATCATGTGTACTTTTGAGTACAATCTTGTATTTCTTTAAGGCTTGGGTTACCAGGAATTCTTTCATTGAGTCTATTGGAACCATTTCCAATCAAACCGAGGGCTCCAACTACAATTGGAATTATTGATGATCTCATGTACCACATTTTTGAGATTTCCAATTTAAGGTCCTTGTATTTTGATAGTTTTTTAAAGATCTTCAAAGATACATTACAAACTGCAATAAGAAAGCACATTCTGTTCTTGTGGTCTTTGATCACAAGATGTCTGAACAATTACCTTTGATTGTTCTGTCAATGTGTATTGTAAAATCCTAGAAAACCATTACAGGTCTTATCTCTTTTAACCGAGTCTGAGTGGTGTTCATACCAATTTCTTGCAGTTTTCTTCCCGTAAAAGTGGCATATTTTCCAGTGCAGACCCACTTTATCATGCCATGTTTTATATTAAGTTGATGCTAACACCGTGAAACATGATACAAGATGGTTAATTATGTCTGGATATTTATCACAATATCTGCATTTGGGTTCAACCCACTCTTTCAGTACGTATGTTTGGTAATTTCTAGTTAGCTAGCTTTGGTCCTGTGCAGCAAGAATAAAACCTTCACTTTCAGCATTGAACCCTGCACTACGTAGCCACTGATAGGTACGGGGTTTCTCTACATCAGTTTGTTTGGCACGGACGCAGTATTGACCATGAAGAGGCTTATCTTGACATCGTTTCTGCATCTGGTACATTGCATTTGCTTTCTTTTTTAGGTTCTATTCCGCTGCAGTCCATGTATTATGCTTTACTTGCAATTCTTTACCCACTTGAAATTCCATTTTGAATTTGTTGGCTTCCTTTATTATTATTATTATTATTATTATTATTATTATTATTATTCCTAGTCTCCATGTATCAAGTACAGTTTGCTCCTCCACACAAATATATTTACAGTTTCCACGACCCACGAAAAAATAATTGGCTGTTTTGAATGTGTGCAGATGACACCTCCTGCGATTCTGCAAATTGTTATTCATTGTTAGCTTGAGACCTTGTCTACATTGCTGGCCCTGAAATATGCAGGAACTAAAGTACAAAGAGAGTGGTGTAAGACAGGCCTCGAGTTCGCAGTTAACTGACACACATTATCAGCCTTTTATATTGTGAAGAGGAAGAAAAATATTTTTTATTCAAATTTATATACTTTTTATTTAAAATAACAATGTTCTTATTCGCTTCCCAGTTTTGCGTTTTTTTTTTTTTTATTTTATTTCTGTTATGATGTTGATTTGGGGTTAATAAAGACAAACGCCAAATAACACGTAACAATAAAAAGGGGTTTATTCGGTTGGTAAGTAGGTACAGAAATCGCTTGAGTAGTCTATAACTAACTCAGCCAAGAACTTCTCCGACTCTGTCTGTCTTTTGACATGCCACTATTTAACGTCTTTGTTTGTAGACAAGTTCATCTTCAAGAGTGGGTAGTAGGTTTCCTACACAACACTATATCATAGCATAGTAACCGTCAAAAATTAAAATCTACTTTTAGATCAATAGTTCTGGCTAAAATCAAAACATAAGTTCGCTTGATCTGGGAAGAGTTTAGTATTTTTGCTCACCTGGAAAAGTGTAAGTAGCTAGAGATATAGATAGATAGACAGGAAAAAAAACCTTCAGGAATTAGAACGTGTAACCATTGAAGAATGGAAGAAAATCCTAGAAAAGACTTGTTCAAATCTCATCAAAAACTTTAGAAAACGATTGCAGCAAGTTATAAAGACGGGACGCCATGCTATTAATAATTATGAAAATTGTTCAATTTTTTCTATGTTTTATACTGTACGAATAATTTTCTCTTTTCCTATTTTGCATAATTCGCCTGTCAAATTTATTGTATTTAACCTATTGTTCTAAAAATTGAGTTTTATATTCCCTTTTTTGTGCTTATTAACATATACGAAACCTGGCATCATATGGGCATTAGATTCTGAGAAATGGATAAAAAATTTTCAAAATTGAAGGGTGTGCAAATAATTTCGTCGTTGACTGTAGATAGATAGATAATGAATAGACTAAGATAGATAGATAGATAGATAGATAGTCTGTGTATATACAATTGTTTCGCTAGAACAGTTACGACTGAGTAGTGTGTTCGATCCTTACTGGGTGCTCTATACTTTCGGCCTTGTGCCACATCTAAGCTATACTTAGAAAATCATCACCGTACCATATATACTTGAGTATAGTGCGAGATTTTATGATGAGTTTTTTTTACGCAAAAAACTAGGAGGCCGCACTATGCACAGGTACATTTTTCTGAGGGAGTTAAAAACTTAAAATTCATGCATTTTCAGTGAGCGTAACCTACCTGGTAGACCTACATTCTTACAGTACCTCCTCTTAGGTAATCTTAACGGCACAGTTAAGCTCCTTTAACCTGCCTCCCGTAGACTAGATTCATTCTTTCTCTTGCTTTATGAACAGCAGAGCGTCATTCACTGAGTGCTGCTTAAAATCTACAAATGCCTCATATAAATAAAGAATTAACAAAGCTTTATTTTCCTTTCTCCAATTTGCGTTCATCTTCGTCATTGAAAAGGCAATATCTCAGTGATGTAAACACTTGCAAAACAAAGATGAATGCATTTTTGAGATAGGAAAAAATCTATTAGTTCTTCATTTCTATAAGGTATTTGTGGATGAGGTTTTCCTTCTCTTCATGTATTGGAAAAAGGGAAGTAACTCTGGCCACGTAGGAGGCAGGCCCAGGGTAAAGGAGCTACCGTAGTCAGGCCTGAACGAAAACAAAAGGTACTGTATCTAAAGCTGCGTATCAGATATTTTACGGTAAGTGTTTTTTCTCACCCTTTTGGGGTAACTTTGTACAAAAAAGAATGAAGATATTTATTTGCTATAAAATATGTCTAGGATAATACCCAGTACTGCAACGGTAGGCTTACTAGTACTGCTCAAAAGCTGGGGTTGCTTTATATACGAACTATAGGGATAAAAAAACAGGCTTTTCACAAGAAAATGAGTCGCACACGAGTAGGCTTAAAGGATTCGATTCGAAATTTCATTGTATATCCTCTGAAGAATGTCGGAGCGTACAACGGCCG